TGCTATACCCATAATGCAACCCCAGCAACAACCACGGACACTTTCACACCGTTCACGCATTAATCTCCACGCCCACAACCGATTGACATCGTGGTGTTAAGATGGCATTCCAGGCTCCGCGAGTAATGTTCGTGATTTGACTGGGCTTCCCTACACTGTTTAGTTCCATTCTTTTGAGCCAAAACTTGTGCTCATTGGACCGTGGCATGTGAGTGGATTTCGACTGAAATCTCACCGCTGGACGGTTGGATCCACCGTCATCGATGCTGTCCACACACGAGCAGATAAGTTCCCAGATATGTAGAAGAGATTCCGGTACATAGACAGAAGCTAGATGTGATGTCCCGGAACTTGGAAAATAAACTCAGGAAGTAAAGACGAGTATGCTGTGTCAGACATGTGGACGTGAATGGCTTGTATCCATCCAAAATTGCCCTTTTTATTTCACCACGTCACGTCTTCTCGCAACCACGTCTTTCATCGTCCCTCAAGCGACAAAACGACGACAAATTGGTTAGGTACCCATGAAAACAAATGCACCTGTCACCCCATCCTCCATTTGAAATTTGAGATGAATCATATGGAAAATACATCTTATATTCCTATAATATGCACTAAAATTCTCAGTTAAAAATAGTGGTGTCAGGATGCAAAATCACAGATTTGGGACGGGAAGGTGTGGAAGGGGTCTAAGAGACAGAGATCAAATCGCGTATGGTCTCCACAACTGATGACCCTTGTCATGGCTTTTGGGAAAGCTGAGATCCATAGGGTAGTCTTGAGGTTTGGAGGTATTTAGGAATTGACTAAGTGGCAGGTGATGGTGTTTTCTATCAAGAAGTCGACGAATTGGGGTGAAGGTGACGTCGGTGTCGGCACTGAAGTTTGGCTGATTGTGGCTTTGCTGTTGGAGGCAGCTGGCGAAACTGCCGTGATATCCACTCTCGGGGGTCGCATTTGCGATTTTCGGAGTTTTTCCAGTAAGTGTGTTTGATGATTGGATGAGCGTTGGTGGAGGCATATTTTCCTTGTCTTTTTCGAATAAAGGGACCGTTTTCGAGTTTAATCGCTGTCCAAATACGGTTTTTATGCTGGCCTGTACTTCAGGCATTTCACGCATCACGTAGGACAGAGTCTGAAGTACTTTTATGCAGTCGTTGAGAAGAGTTGTCTTATGTAGCCAACTGTGATTCCGTGGCTGTAAAAGACGTAGTCGAAATTAGTACCCTGTGTACTGCAATCCCATCAAAAAATCGACCAATTCATACTTACGTCGCCACCAACCAATGACATCGCTAGGTCATAAAGCTCTGTCATCTTCTCTGAAATGTGTGCTCGCCGACGTCTTTCGAGATGCCGTTTTTTGACCTAGGAACAGACAGGTGAGTTGATTTAAAAGCTCAAACATTGATAAATATTTGCCATAGTAGGTGGTACATACCCTCGTCATTGCTTGTCGTTGTTCCAGCGGCACTGTCGATCTGCGTCCGCGTTTGCTTAATACACGAGTCTGCCGAGGAGACATATTGAAGGGCCGAACTTGTGACACATGGTGCCCGCACAATGGCTTTTATTTGTCTTGGCGAAGCGTGGCGCTCATTGGCTGAGACAGGAGCCAATCACGTGTCAGTGAATGTGGCTCATCCAGTCACGTGAGACCATGTGTTCACCAATGACGTGCGCGTGAGGAGCAGAATGCAAGTAGCACACGAGTTTGGATCCTCAAATGACCCTCGCCATACAAACAAGCAACTTGATTAGGCAGTGCTAAAGTACTATTTTTTGTATCTGCATTAAGTGCATCTGGTTGGTCACTGTTTCTTAAAATTTTTTCGAATAGCTTGTCATGTCATGTTGTGGGCAAAAGAATGCTCATCTGCGGTTGTGTTTATGAAAAACGACATATTGTGATGACACTGGTGACACCGATTGCTAACGATTGAACAAATGAACAACAAGTGCTGTCTCTTACGGTAGCCAGCGAGTCAGGAAACGGGAGGTGCATTGTCGACTGACCTGGCAAACCGTCAGGCAAATTCAATACGGCTTGATGCGAATTCCAAAATCGGTGTCATCGTTCATCCCTTCCCACATCCACGAGGAATTTGTGAATTCGATAGCCAGGGCAATCCACACCAGAAATAAGTAAACAAATTAGTTTTAAACTATGAGTGAATGGATGGAGACAGGCGTTTGACCCCTGAGTGTGGTGGCACGGTGAGTCTAGACAATGCGTTCTGCTCCCCATGCCCGAACTACCACGTGTCTCACATCACCGACAATGCGGTGTCTGCAACTTTGATGGGGCTCAGTGTTGGAGTGAAATCTCAGCTGGTGGCGTTAGTTTGGACCACATTTTCAACCACGTGCCTCGTCGCATCCTCTTACGCATGTCTGGTTATCTTGATAATGTGGATGTGTGAGCGCTCCAGTGGGTAGGAGCACGGCAGACTACTCACATGTTCTATAAGGATTAACAACAATGTGCACGCATGAATGGTCAACTCGAGTGTTGAATCAGTCGAGATACGGTGGCCAAAACTGGTGGTGTTTTGGTGGAGGTGGTGCATTTCGGTGGACATCCGTAGACGTTGAGGAGCCACAGCTCGGGTTCAGGCTGTGCATTCACTAAGGGTACTGCAGCGGCGGAGCACAACGCTGCACAGTGTGGGAATGTCCGTTTTCTTGGTGCAACGTTGTGTCGTGGCTACGACGACACAAAAGTCGCGTTCTCCGCTTCCTTCATCGATATATTGAGCAGGTCACGCACGCAACGTGAGAGATCACGTCAGTGGGAATTGATTTGCCACGCCAAATGCGACTGTTGCTATGCCGTGAATGCACTGACTCGTGGCGCATGCGGTGCGCGAAACCACACGACGGCAATTCTATTCGGACCAGTTTTCACACCTTCATTCAATTGGTTAGAGACTTACTCGATGTGTTCATTGGCTACATCCCCTTCACTTGTCCCATTGCAATTTGTTTTGTAATTTGTGAAAGTTACATCACCCAAGTCTTCGGCGATGACACGAAGGGCTGATGTATGCAGAATGTAAATCTTGTCAGCAACGCATGCTCGCGGTCTCCTTTTTTGGCTACCTTCTAATGTACATTATTCACATTTTAAAGCTGCC